AGTGGGCCTTCTTGGTGTTCATATACGTACGGTCTTCGGATGTGACAAAATCTCTTGGGTGGTCTATCGCGACTACTATGGACAGGTGGTCTGATGCGAGCGTGAGCACTGGTTGACAACCAGTGCAATTTATCAGACCCCCGCTTGCTATAGTGATATCTGGCGAGCTGTAGTAGTCACCCGCGACACTGGTGGGGGCATCGTCGTTTACAGCGCAAAACGTTGAGTCGTTTTTCGCCTTTAAGTAGCGCACTTATGTTCGGGCGGTATCCTGCTGGGCAGCTGGTGGCAGGTGGTATATACACGTTGACGACTTCCAACTCAGTATCTCCCGACTTGATTGCCACACCTTGGTGCTCAATGAGTGTGTCGTTGGCGGCGATTCGGGGGGTAATGAGCCGGTATTGGACCGCGTTGTGCAATAAAAAGGCGATGCCGCCTCCGGCGCCGCGAGGGCGGTCTCTTCGGATGACGTTGAACTCATCCTGACTCTGAATGCTAGAGCCGGAGTGGAGTTTGGTTTCCTGGACCGCCGCGACTGAGATTTTGTTGCGCCTCATGAAGCTGACTATCTCAGCGATCTTGCTTTGTAGTCCGTTGCAATTGAACTGCAATAATTTGAGGGAGTTGGGCCTGGTGATGGTTATTCGCGGGGTGAGGGTGTGCTGACGCGCTGCCTGAACTGCTTGCTGTGCCGGTTGTGTTTGTTGCGGGTGTGGTGGTCCGGCCGCTGGTTTTGTCACCGGTATTGGCGCCGGTGTGGGTGTGACCGTGGGCCGCGGTTGTGGGGTTACCGCTGGCGTTGGCATTGGCACAGACGTAGCTGCAGGCGATTGGGGTTGTGTGGTAGCAGAGCAGCATTCTGCAGTGAAAGCAGTACTCCATTCGCGATGGTGTATGAGGCCGGAGCAGCGTTTCAGGTGGCACCAGTTGTTGCATGCGTTGTATCTTACTGATGTGGTGTTACGTCTTATCAGGTTGTTGCAGACGCTGCAGAACCATCTGCTTTGAGTGGATGTCCGTGGTTGTGTGCTGGGAGTTGATCCACTGGCTGTTGGTTGGGCGGGCGCTGTTTGTGTGGAATGCTGGGCTTGCTGTGGATTGTTGCAGCACGATGCAACAAAGTTAGCACTCCACTCCCTATGGTGCCGGAGGACTGAGCATGCTTTCAGATGACACCAGTTATTGCAGCTGTGGCAACGGACTGAGGTGGACGAGTGGTATATTTCGGTTGCAGATACTGCATGTCCATGGTCCGGGGTTTTGCTCTATGCCGGCGCGGACCAGTAGTATGCGGAGCAGACTTGCCGGTAGGTCATGCTCCCAGTGCGAAAAAATGGGGGGGTTTCTGCTGGGGTAATGGTCCTTGGTCGGAGTGGGTGCTCCGAGTCAATCCGGTAACGTAGAACCGACCATCTTGGAATTGTTATCTAGTGCCCTTATTTTTGCGAATGAGATAGTCGTGCGGTGAATAAAAACGAAGGAAAAGAGTATCGATACTGAGAGTGTCATTACTGACAGCGGCGCGAATGTTTGCTATCGGTGTGAATGGAGCAGACATTCGTAAATTCCTTAAAGTATTATAGACTTTGCTTACTATTGAGTTAACATGGTCAATGAAGATAAGGCCGGTGTTGATAATAAGCCCAAGGTTAGTTACTTTTTGCCCAAATTTAATGGGTTTGCCACATATGAGTTATGATAGAATAGCTGCTAGGTTAAGACGTTTCTTACATATAGGTAAAACAAAACACTTGTCATAATTAAGATAAAGACATTTAGCAGAGCCCAAGACCTAGCTGAGTCCTCAAGAGGACGTGACATATAGAGCAGGACATCGTCCGCATAGCCATGCATAGAAATGTGAAATATGTCATTAACGAACAAACTAGATAATAGTGGTCCTAAGATTGACCCTTGTGGGATACCGATTAACAATGGCCTTAGTTCAGATATTTGATATCCAACTTTGACACGTTGAGACTCCTCTTTCAAATAGCTAATTCATCAGTTTCACTGTTTACTCTCCAAACCCAAAGTAGTTTTTTAATTTAAAGCACACTAGTTCATGGCTAACTGAATCAAAGGCTTTAAAGAAGTCCAGCAAGCATAGTAAAGTTAAGTAGTACTTCAACACTAGGGCTGGATGCAGATTTATTTTTGGGTACAGGTGGTGTGACTATGATTTATTATGGGTATTAAGGTTGACAAAATTATCGCTAAAATTACCTTCACAAACCTAATCGGAATGCCATCTTCACCAATAGCGTTGGAACTGATCTTAAAAACAGATTTCACTAGATCAAGCTCACTCACAGCAATGAACTCACACTTTTTCGCCAGCAAAAGAGACCGGACACGAGGCTACAGAATTGGTGGTAAGGGGACCGGATGAAGACAGGGAAGCAAAGGCAACGCTGAGCGTTTCAGGACTCAGCAAGCATTCTGATTTCTCACTGGCATGGACGCGGAGTGTTCGCAGATTTCGGCACAATACATTATTGGGCAGTGAGGGATCCAGCTTTTTCATAAAAAAAAAATTTCTTTTCACATCTTATAACCGAGGTAGCTTCATTTGTTATTATTTTGGAAGCACTCCAGTTCTCATCTTTCCATATGTTATAACTAGGGAAGACAAAAGTATGCAAATGCATATCGCATAAGCAAATCGTCGTTTAACGTACAAAACCGCGTATCGTCATTCTGCAAAACCGCGTAACTGACATCGGCTGCCGAAAATTGGCTTAATCCGTATCCATTCGTCCTGAAATATGCCAGACAGAAATGCGATTGCTTTATAAAAAAGAGAACCATTTTGAAATATGAATGTTTTTACTCTCTAGAAAATAATTTATGCAACCTCACATACGCGGTTTTGCATTATCTTGATATGCGGTTTTGCATTTTGTTGATACGCGGTTTTGTACTTTAAACGACGAAATGCATATTCACACAAAATGCATATTTTGGCGAAAAGGCATAAAAATGATTATTTTTGTAATAAGCTACTTAATTTTCGCATAATGTCATCTGACAATACCTTTTCGGAGATATCCAGGGTTGCTGACGAGGTTTGTTTAATTCACAAAAAGGAAAAGCTGACAAACAACGTAAAGTCCCGTTATTTTTTAGTAAACAATTGTATCATGCTCGTAAAAATATTTCGACTGTTGTTTTCCAATAGTGAAGTTCCACGCTAAACCGGTTTCGTGGTTGAAAAATTGTATCAAACCAGTTCCCAGGGGCTGGATTCTGTAACTGTGAGTTTTCAAGTATACACTGACAATTATGTGCACTCTTCATTTTGCGATTCAGGAAGTCTGAGAATGCGTTGTAGTTGTAAAAATTGTGTACACTTCCTCACTTCGCGATCCAGCAAGTGTGAAAATGAGTTTTAACTGTCAAAATTGTGTACTTTTCTTCCGAAAAACCCACTGAATTTTATTCGGTGAGTTTTCGGTTGTGAGTTTGGCACTAAGTGTACACTATATTTTCTCACAGTTACAGAATTCAGCTCCAGCTATGTTGCGAACTAAGCAGGGCATTTAATTCTGTATCTACAACAACATTCTGCATCTATTGTAACTGCTTAATATCAGCAGCAAAAATATTTTGTGTGAAGCAACACTTCAATAAAATGTTGCAATATTTTCACCTGGATAATTGTCATCTTTTAAATTCTGCCCAACATAGTCTTGTGACGTAGAGCGTTCGTTTTCAATACATATATGTATGCAAGGTGTATAAAACAAGGTGTGGGTGACAAACCAGGTCGGCTCTCTTTTAAGGTACTATTATGCTAAAAAATATAAACAACGATTCAAAATTCATACAAAATTTGTTTAATTTTAATGATCATATAATTAAGTTTTTTGTGCATATTTTTGTCCTCCCTAGTTATAATATTTATTGTGTTTTAAAATTGCTAGTCGGACCCCACCATTAAACCAACGGCAGGACGAAGACCTGCCACAGGTTCGAGTAGGGACATGAGTGCATTTAATACACTTTCGCTCAGGAAACGATGTTTCTCATTGACCGTGCTGAGACACCATCAATCCAATTGATCTGCAAGAGGTCACTGAAAAGGTTGTTGACATCTAAGAAACGGTAGTAAAAGAAGTTAATACATAGGTATTGTCATCAAAGTGATCAAGCTTAACGTCAAAAGAACAAAATATCAAGTCATGATCAGATATAAAACATATCTGGTCAAATTTAAAAATAATAGGAAGGTCAGTACAGCAAAGTAATCTAATAAGCTGGGTCAGAAATTGCTTCCATATCTTGTGGGCACCGACACATTAACCAGAGACAACCCAACACAGTAGACGTCATCAATTAAACGAGCACTGGTAGAATCAGGACATAACAGGTTCACATTAAAATCACCACAAAGGATGAGGTCGTAATCTATAGAAACATAGACAGAAAATTAAAAATCACATAGGCTGAAATACTTATAAGGGTTATACACACAAGGCAATAGGTTTTCGACGAGGGGTTAGACATTTCAACAGACAGGTATTCTAAAAACAAGAGGAAGCTAAATGTTATACATATTATTAAACTTATAAATTTGATGTTTGAACTTAATAATAAAACAACTTTTAGGTTCATAAAAACTCTAAAATATTAAATAAGCGTATCAAAAAAAGGGTTAAATTTTCTGCTGGACTTTCAATAGGCAAAAATTTACAAATTATATTCGTATTAATATAACAAAACTTTAATTAGAAATTAATTTTGGATATGAGACACAAGTCTCAACTTCGTTTCAGAGAGCAGTTAATGCAAAAAAAAAATTACACTCTCATAGCCCAAACTAAACAAAATGCCTTCTCTCAACAACAGAAGATAAAGGACCAACCGTATATAAAATTTTACCGCAATCACACCACTCAGTAAAAACAAAGTGAGTAAAATGAAAGTAGTAGTCGCCGAATCGAAGAACATTAGTAGCATTATAAATTGTATGAAATGGTATAATTATAACTTACCGTCGGTACACACGGCATGTTTGGCGATATAAATCCCAGTCCTCGAGAGCCTACACCGTTAAAACAAGATTTTATGTTCTGCATAAATTTTCGTCGAATAGATTTCAAAGAATATATACACAACGCTGAGTTATCAGTAGAAACATTTCCATCTCCAACACTGAAAACTCCATATAAAACGTCATCTTGAACAGTTATACCCAAACTTCCGGCTAGATCTGCGCTTGGCTTGCCCAAGTACCCAGCCTGAACTAAATTGTACTTAGTTCCGCCAGTTATGCAGTCAATTGGGATTTCCGTGTAAGAATAGTAATTCGAGTCCTCCTGACAAATTCGAACAAGTTTAGTTATGTACTCTTTTGGAGAGGAGTGATAATTATGTTTCAATTGAGTCGTTAGAAAATACGAGAATCGCTCCGAGCTGAAGCCATATACGTAATTTATTAAATACCCTTCCCGGGCATACGAGTTAATGAAAGTACGTGTTCCTGTTGTCACAGCCGATGATGCAATTTGGAACATTTTAGTTTTTTCCAGTGAACGTGAGGCAACCGCAGGTATCTCGCTCCGATAGGGAGAGTTATTTGTGTAAGTGACACCAACATACATAACATTGGTGATAGGTGGTTGTGGTGGTCCCGGCGCTATGAATGCCACAGTGGAAGAGTTTGCATCATTCGCCACCACTGCATCTGGTAAATCCTGCTCCACTATACTAACATTTTGTAAATTACGTACCGTACATGTTCCTTGAAATAGGGATCCACATGCTATCAGGCGCGAAGTTGCACGATCTATTAAAAGTACTTTGTTGTAGTTATCTGTAGGTCTGCGCATAGCATGTGCTGGACAGTCTAATACCGTACACTCAACAGAGTCATTTCTTGGGCCGGTTTTTACCTTTTCGTGTAATTCTAGTTCCGGTGAAAGTTGATATAAAAAATTTACACCACCAACAAACACTCTTCCAGTGAATGTGTCGACGACCAAATGATTTAAAGGTGTATCGAAGTGAATAGCACTCGTAATTATGCTGCTATAGTTTTTGGTATCTGCTGAACTCCTCTCATGGACGTCTTTAACTTCTTCACCGCCGAACTGTGAGTGCGATAAAGCAGACGCTGACGGAGCACTTCCGCCGCCGTTTCCAGTAAGCGCCAACTTCAAACTTGCCGATGTAAATCCATCAATTACACCGTCACTATTCTCCAAAATATCCTCCTCATCATTAAGTAGAGTTTGGGACGAGTGACCATGTGCAGCATCAAGTAGTGTGCGAGTAAATAAAATTTCTGTGCTGCTGTGACTGTTATCATTAATTCTACTGGTACTCCTAATTTGGCTGCTCTGAGTATTAAAGCTTCCTATAGACGTAACGTAATTTAGCATGAATGCCAGAAGGAACCAAATTATAAACCGCATGTTTCATAACATAAGATCTGAAAAGGAAAGATTTATTTAAAGAGGAATCTTTCTTTTGAATACTATGGTTTACTTAATATTATTTTGATAGATTATAGTGTTACTTGTGAATTCTGTATAAACATTCTTGTATTCTAATGTTTGAATGTTTTTAAAAGACAACTATTTGTTTACTGTAAAACTCTGGCTATTAGGTAGGAAAGCACGGAACGGAATGGAAACCAGGCCTTTCCATCCGACCAAGCAGCAAATGATCTAGCATACGAAAGACGCTGTGAGTATGGATCGGAAACTCGGTCTTTCCGACTATGCCCAACAGCCCGACCATAACGCGGAGCGGAAACAAGGCCTTTCCGCCCGCTTCACATCACGGAATCCAGCGTCAGGGTTTGCATATTAAGGACGACGGGAACATGGATAGGAAACTCGGCCTTTCCGACCGTGACTATCAACTCGTGAGCAACGCGGAGCGGAAACAAGGTTGTTGTTGTTGTAGCGGCTACAACAACCCCGCCCAGATCGGCTGATATCTCAGCCGTTGTCGCCGAGTTCCACTAACGGCAGCCCCAAGAAGCGTGCAGCCTCTATGGGGTCAGTCCATAGGGACGACGCCGTTAGGGTTGTGGGGTTTTCCCGGCATGCGAAGAGATGTTTCGAGTCATGAGGGGTCTCTCCGCATGCCGGACATTCGTTCGGCACATCCGCATTTAACCTACACAGGTATGAATTTAGCCTGCTGCAGTAGCCAGAGCGAAGTTGGGCTATTGTCGTTCTGGTCTCCCGAGGTAGATGGAGCTCGGTCATGTCAATCCGGTGTTTGTGCGCCTAGAACGGCATTCACAGGTCTTGAGTCTACATAACTCGAGACTGCGTCCCTGTGAATGCCGTTGAGGGCCTGTCTATGAGCTGAAGGGTCCAGAGGCTGCTTAATGAACCTCTGGACCTTGTCCGTCAGTTCATATAGATGCCTCCTGACGTGCCTCGGCGAGGGCCCCTCTGCAAGCAGCTGTCTATTCGGGTGGCCACATCTGTGGCTCCCAACAAGAAACTGCTTGCAGAGCATCGTGTTGTGCTCCCTAATTGGGAGCATTTTCGCCTCAACGTGGAGGTGGTGTTCTGGTGACATCAGGAGGCATCCCGTCGCTGTCCTAAGTGCTGTATTTTGTACCGTCTGTAGCTTCGTCCACTGCGTCCTGCTAGTCCCCGGCGACCACACTGGTGCTGCGTAGTTCAAAACCGGCCGGCCTATTGCCTTGTATGTTGCCAGCAACGTTTTTTTGTCTTTGCCCCAAGTACTGCCGCCTAGCGACTTGAGGACCTTGTTGCGGCTCTGTACTTTATTGACAATTGCGGTTGTGTGCGCAGAGAAGGAGAGCAGGCTGTCGAATGTTACTCCGAGTATTTTAGGATTATTCACCGTCGGAATTGGTGTGTCATCGACGTGAATTCCTAGCGGTAACCTGACCTCCTTCGTCCAGGTTGTGAACAGGGTCGCAGACGATTTCGTAGTGGAGAGGGCTAGACACTTTGCCGTGAAGAAGCGAGAAAGGTCAGGGAGATATCCGTTTACTTTCGAACACAAGTCATCAATTCCATTCCCAGTCGCCATGTTCGAGCAATCGTCGGCGTAATAGACAATCGAGACTCCCCCTGATGGTTGAGGGAGCTTTGAAATGTAAAAGTTAAACAGTAGTGGGGAAAGGACATCGCCCTGTGGAACCCCCTGTTTTATTTTTCTAAGTTTGCTCGATTTGTCTCTAAACATTACCGACGAGTGTCGACCACTCAGATAATTTTCCGACCACCGTTTGAGCGTCTGTGGGAGAGAGGAAGCCTCTATATCTTCTAGTAGCGTGGAATGGCTGACAGTGTCAAAAGCCTTTGACGGGTCCACCGCTACTAGAATCGTTCTCCCACAGGGACGTTTACAGTTAAGCCCACGAGTTATCTGAGTGTTTATGGCGTTAAGTGCTGTTGTTGAACTGTGCACTTTACGGAAACCATGCTGATGCTTCGCTGGGGTCAGGTGGTTTGTGAAGTACGGGAGTAGCAAGGCCTCGAGTGTCTTCGCTACCGGGGAAAGGAGTGTAATCGGACGATACGAATCTCCTTTGTTGGCAGGTTTCCCCGGTTTGAGCAGTGGGACCAATCTCCCGACCTTCCAGATGTCTGGGATGATGAGAGTGGCCATGGACAAATTGAGGACCTCCGTTAGGTACGCTACCCCCGCAGGACCCAAATTTTTCAGCATCAGCATGCATATTCCGTCGGGACCCATGGCTTTGGAGGCTTTCGCCTTCCCGATGGCCACCTGAACTTCACCGCAAGTGAAAGCAAGGGGGGCACAGGTTGTTGGCAGTTTGTGCAGCCTTCTGGTCACTCGACGCTTGGCTTTGTCCACCGGAGGATGCAGTATGAACTGCCGGCTAAAATAGCTCGCGCATCGCTCCGGGTCCGACGAAGCATGGTCGCCGAAAGAAATTTCGACTCTGTCGTCGTGCTTCGTCGGATTGGACAGTGACCTCACGGTTGACCAAAGCTTACTCACACCAGAGGTGAAGTTACAGGTCTTCAGATGCTCATCCCACTTCTTCCGCTTATTTACGTTACGCCGAATCTCCGCGTTGAGATTCCTAATACGGGGATCTCCGGGATCGGCCTGACGAAGGCTGTCGCGCTCATCGGCTAGAACAGCCGCTTCGGCAGGGAAGTTTGGACGTGGGTCCGATATACATCCTGCCGGTATGAAGCGAGCTGCAGCAGCAGTGATAGCCCTGCGGAACTTACGTTCACCGAGATGGACGTCGGTTGGTGTGGGAAGCGCAGTGAGGGTGTTTTCAGTAAACTCCGCGTAACCTTTCCAATCAGCTTTAGATGTTGATATAGGTCCTCGTCCAGTCTCGCGTGGTACGCAGACCTGAGCATGCCCTAAAGTGGCACCAGCCAAGGCAGGTGTTGCACTTGACTGATGTCACATTACGGAATATCCTGGTCTGACATACCGTGCAGATTGTAGGAGGAACCACGAGTTGTTGACGGCGGCGTGTTGGTGGTGGTGCGGCTGTGTGTGTTCTATAGTCTGTCGTGGCTGTGGTATGGTCTGTGGTGTTATTATGTTGTTGTGCTGTGGTGGCTGTGTGAGGCTGCTCTGGTGGACTGAGGTTGGCCGTGGAGTCTGCTCTGTTTGAGTAGCAGGGGGCCACATACGACGTGGTCCACTGCCGATGTGTCCGTAGTCCTGAGCAGACTCTGAGGCGACACCACCCCTCGCAAGCATTGCACTTGACAGAGGTGGAGTTGTGGTGTAGTCGTCTCTGGCATACACAGCAGGTGTAGGTTTCTGGCCCTGGGTTTGACTCGATGCCAGCCCTGAGTAGGAGAAAACGTAGCGAACGTAGCCCTATGGACGAACAACTTCTAAGATACTTTGCCGACCTAAACTGGGTTAGATCGCCGAAACAGCCCTTGGTCGGGTAAAACCCGAGTCATTCCGGTACGTAGAACCGGCTGTCGTGGGAATGCGGAAACAAGCTACCAAACTAGTTAGACAATATACATTTATATAGGTTAATTGATAGTTTTAGAAACATAAACAGCTTTGTAATTGAAAATTTAAACTTACATATACGCATACTTTGTTAAATATTAAAAATAGCTATCTGTACTTTGAAGTCGCAAGACTGTAACAAATAAATAAATAAAATAAAATAAATATATATATATATGTATATATAGGCCTGTTTTTAACCTCGTCTCGTTTCGAGTTAAGGCGCTGGTCCAATGCAGGCTTGCCTTGCAAGCTTTGCTGGTTTGGTTTTGCTTTGTTTAACTTTGATAACTTCTTTGGCTAAATGGTGGCTTCGAAAGCTGTCAAAGCAACAAGCTCTGTGATTGCGCTATCTAAGTCTGCCCCTTAATATAAAAAAAACGCACGAAAGTCCAGAACATTTTGGAGAGACCTCTTTCAAAAAGAGAAATTCGAAATAATACGTATTATGTTCTAAACCTATTTAGAAGTAATGTGAAGTAATCTTTGCATGTCACAGAAATAATGATACATATACAGAAGAATTATATTACACTAGCAGACCTGTCGAACTTCGTTCCGCCCAAAATTTATTAGAAATAATTGAAACACTTTTCGAACTCTGTCGCCTCGCGACCCCAGCGTCTCGCTGCACTGCACTCGCACCGCCCCCAAGCCTTCTTCGCAAAAAACTGGTTTTATGTTTTCCAAACAAAAATTTTAAAAAGCGCAATAAAATCATAATGGCTTTATTTCCATTTCCAGTTGTAAATAAATAAATGGAAGGTATGCATTTCATATCCATGCACACATATCGCATGCCGTCTTCAAAAGAGTCACAACTCAAAATAATACGTTTGTAAGAAAATGCGAAAAACTATTTCTCAGCACATGATAATCATATGGGCAGGGCGACTTTACCTTAGGTTTTTTTAACAAATTATAATAAAAATTTGCTCCAGCTTTTGCTGAAAGTTCTATAAAAGCTCTGTGTACATTTTTAGCGCATAATCTCAAAAATGCCAAATCTTGAGTTGGGTGAAAATTGGACACCGGATTTCAGTTAAGTTCGAATTTTTGCGTGAAAATTTGTGGGTAGAGAGGTTTCTAGAAAGGGATTCTGAGAATTTTTTTTTAATTTAAATTTTTAAAGTTTTTATAAGCAAATATATTTTTAAGCAATCTTGTTTTCAAAACTCATTTTCTCTTAAAGTATTTGACGAAAGTTGATGAAATTTTTTTTAGAGCTTTAAAAAAATATATTTTTATAATTTAGAATTTTTTTTTATTTAAACATAAATATTCAAGTTGCATTAAAATACATTTATTTTAGAAATGTTTATTTTACAAGTAAAAATAGAAAAACTATGAACTACATAGTTTCGTTATATTAAAAATTTGTACTTTGAATCTTTGACTATGTTCTCCATTTGAGTTTTTAACTCGCAAAACTTTAATCTCTATAGTTGTAGTA